AGATTCAGTGCTCAGCACGGGATTTAAGAAGAGCTGTAGGAAGGGCAGATAAAAAAGGGAGACAGGAAAACTGAGAAACAATGCTCTAGGACTGAGGGACTTTCCAGAAATGTCACTGTAACAACACTTCTTGCTGGTTCGTTCTGAGGACTGAATGAAGAGCTGCACAAATGCGTTCCATTCTGACTTTACTTGCTGTATAGTAAGAATAAACTCTGATCCTCATTTTATGGACTTCTCATATTACTCAAATTCTCAAGGTGCAGGATAGGTGATTTAAAATTTTCTTTTTGCACAAACCCTACCATTACATACCAATCTCTAATTTTTGAAGGTATAAGAAATGTTATCAATAGAAAATTTAGGCAGGCTTCTAAAGCCCTTATCAAAGTGAGTCTCCCTTATACATGCCTTGTGGTCATACCAGAACACACAAACTGTTCAGGCTCAACTTACAGCTACCAAAAGTTCAGAAAACCTGAGTGGGCCCTGGCATTTTTTGACACTGGAAAAGGAAAAAAAGGTTTATACAAACATTGTAGTCTTCATCTTTCTTTCTCCAACACTGTCGAATCTCTGCCGTGCTAAACTCATCTTAACAGTGTTCTGAGTGTTACTTGAGACCACGTAGTCTTCCTTCCACTCTAAGGGCTAAGGATGTGCCTCAGAATTGTTTACCATGTGTAAGGGAGGCTCCCAGACCAATCCTCAGCACAGCAAAACCCCAAGAAATCTAGGGCAAAATAAATGCAGAACACTTTAGTTAACCGAAGTTTCACCACATGGCTAAACACGCTTCAAGTCCTAAGTATTTCCATAAGTATGATAACCACTATTTAAGAGGCTATGGAAGCCCTGTATGTTCAGAGGTAACCCCTAACATGGGTCTGTGAAATCTCCCTTCTTCCTGCTCCTCCCAATAGAGCAGGACAACGGCCTTACTTCTTTCAGAATCCTCTTCACGGCACCTCAAACTTGTAAGTAGCAGCTGGGGCTGAAGATAAGGCTTAGCAGTTAAGAGTATTCGATGCTCTTCCCCAGGGTCTACAGAGAGGCTTACTCCAATTCTAAGGAATCCAATGTCTTCTTCTGACCTACTCAGGTACCAGGCATGTACATGGTGCAGACATAAATGCAAATGGGGGGGGTAGCCCCTTTGGAATGACAGGGTAACGCTCATAACTATTCTCAAGCCCACAGAAGCCCGAGACATTTGCTTGGGTAGAATTCATCAAGTTCGTCTAGAGGAAATCAAACCTGCAGCTGTGCATTTTCATGAAGCTGCTCTCCCTGTCCCAGGACTTTCTCCAGTGTCCACTTTCTTCTGCTCCTTCAAAGTTTTCCCCCAACAACTCCAGCCGCAAATATTGTTTCCAATTCCTGCTGTACTTAGCATGGGGAAGGGAACAGTAGGCATACTGTTCAACAAAGTTTGTGGATATATGTACTAAGCTTTTTTTGGATGACATCTGTCATTAAGACACAGCAAGCAATGTTAAAGGATCTGCAAGTAAGTGTCCATGCATTGATTTTGATTCTAGAGCTACGGTTATTAACTTAACCTCTCCCACCCTGGCCTATTTAAACTTACCAGTGAACACTTCAGGAAAATGATACCTCAGCTTTCATACTATAGAAGCTTGATAATTACAAGGTTTGCCATTCTCATAAACAGCTTACTCACATAGCTAAGGGACCTACTAAATAAAACTGCCTTCAACTGAGCTGGTGTTTGACTTTAAAACTGAACCAAGAAAAAAAGCACCAGGTTCCAGGGGTGGAGAACACCAACCCATCCAACTCTTCATGAACTGAGAAGGAGGGACCTGGAGAATAGCAATGAGTCTGTGGTACTGTAACTGTGGCAACTGCTGCCTCATTGGGGGATGCTGTCTTTGCTTTGGGGAGGAAAGTAACATGGCCACTAAGGTCACTCCCCAAGGTTCCCTTTTAAGCCCATACAATACAGTGAGAACTGGAAGGGGCTGTGCTCATCTCCTCAGTATACATCCAATCACAAGATCAAGTTAGAGTATGAATGTGTTAGGGGACTTACTACTGCTTCTCACAAGAGGTAGAGTAGCTTTCCTTCAAGGCCTTTTCAACAAGTCTTGGGTGTTTAGAGACAATCTGCTTGCTTGGCATAGTGGCCCAAGCTTGTAATCCTTTCATTTTGTACGTAAAGGAAGAATAACCAGGAGTTTGTTATCTGTAGCCACCTAAGAAAGTTTAAGATCAGCCCAGATAACATTAGTACCTTTATCAAAAAGAAAAAAGAATCTGCTTAACAAGAGCAATGGTCTAGTTCTAACCCTAAGAGAGAAAAGGGAAGATGGAGGGGTTAAAGACAGCTCAGTAGCCAAGAGTCTTGCTGGTCTTCAAGGATCCCTAACTCCAGCCCCAGGATCTGATGCCCTCTTCTGGTCTCCTAAGGTACTCCCACACACATGGCATAAAAAACACAAAAATTAATTCTTAAAAATCAAATGTTTCTAAGACATTTTGGAAAATACTGTTCATTCTGCAAAGTGTTTCTTCTCTCACCCTTTAAAAAATTTCCTTCCCTTTTTGCTGCTTTTCCTCAACAAAATGTTTCATATTCAACCCTAACCATACTTTCAAAGTCCAGCTCAAGCACCAGACACCTTCTGAGCCCTGAAAGTATCAAGGACTGTAACTACTGTGCAAGGAAATTTGGCCCTACCCCTCTGACACTACACATTTAACCATGAGAACAAAAGGTGTTTCATATAATGAAACAAATCTTTGTGAAAACTCCATCCCTTAAGAAGCTCACTTCAGCACACACAGTAATGAAACTCATTACCTGAGGCCCAGGCTGGCCTCGAATTCAAGAACTGCTCCTAGACAAGCAGCACTGTTAGTCCCAACACATGAATGCAGAGATCCAGGACAGGAAAGGCTACATTGAGACCCTGTCTCAAAAACAGCACAAAAAGGAAATGCCTGAGTCACCACATCTGCTTATATCTCATCTGTGTAGACACATGTGGGTGCCCCAGGACACCTTGAAGGAGTTAGTCCTCTTCTTCCATCATGTGGACCTCTAGAACTGAACTTAGTTAGGCCTTAGGCTTGGTAACAAGCATCTTCACCATCTGAGCCATCTCCTTAGTGCCAAACCTCACCTCTTAATGGAAAGAAAGCGCTTTTGAACAGTATGAATGAAGCCTAGAATCTCCAATGTTATATAATATAGAGTCTTCTATATTAAAGCACCTGTGGTGACGGTGTGTAAGGATTGAATGAAGGAGCAATGACTCAACAACTGCTACAAGAAGCAGTAGTTAATCCTACAAGTTTGTTAAAGCCTATACTCTACCACTTCCCTACCCCATGTCCCCTTCACCTACGGGTAGACTCATAAAACCAAGATTTCTAACAGCCCCCTGCCCTCAAGCACACACACACAGGGCTTCTCTGTGGAGCCCTGCCTGTCCTGAAACTCACTCTGTAGGCCAGGCTGTCCTCAACTCAAGAGATCTACCTGCCTTTGCCTCCTGATCAAAGAAATGCATTAGACATCCCCATTAGAAGCCTCAAGTTGCAAACTAACTCCCGCCTCCATTATCACAGCTGTACTTGAGCTGCTGCCTGTATTCACAAGATGTGCTTAATGACAAATAATGGTTTCTGAAGGAGGTGGTGGGTGGATTTAAAATATGAGCTGGTACCAGACCACCTTTCCACCCTCAAACCAATAGGAAAACAACAAAAACCAGTTATTGGTGATATCCATTCCAACAGTCATTTCATGACGTGCCAAATCTCTGGCTTTTCAAAAGTTCACAATGTCTAAGCAAAACAGACTCTCTAGTAACCATTTTAACACTCATTTTTACTTTTGCATCTATCAGGGTGGGAGGACACTCCAAATCTTGGTCCTCCTGAGTGCTGGAATTAAAGGTGTATGCCACCACACCCATTGTAACACCGTAATTAAAAAAAAAAAGTTGCAGTCTAAATGTCTGTCAATAATATGATGATTGATGGCTTAAGGTTTTGCCTTCAATCAAGTGGGTGGGGTGGAGGCCCTCCTTTGATCCCATTGCTAGGGAGGCAGAGGCAGGCAGATCTTTTAAGTTCCAACCCAGCCTTGTCTACATAATTCAGTTCAAGGACAGCTAGAGCCAGATGAAGAATCTGTCTTGAAAAACAAAAGACGCCTCAAAGAACCTATGCTTTCTAGTGTGCAATCTGTCCTTTAACTAATCTAAAACTCTACCAAAATGTACCCTAGGAAACAAGGTTATTGGACGGCAATAACCTATTTTGAGGTAACAACCAAATTGCACTTTCTAGAAAAGTATTATGAATTAATTGCTAGTTTGGAAGGAGAGATTACATGAAATAGCTGCTTTGATTTGAGGGAGAAACTATTAATTTAAAAAAAAACATACTTAATTTACATGTAGTTTGTGACCGTCCAAATCTGTCCTTAGGTAGGAAGACGACACTCAAAACACAAGGGTGATGTATAGGACTGACTCCTGGTGAAAGGATGATTTACAATTTCTTCACCCAGGAATTTAAGAATCCGAGTGGAAGCACCGCACCCCCAGCCCCGCCAAAAAAAAAAAAAAAAAAAAAAAAAAAAAAACCAAACCAAACCAAAAAACGTAGGAGGGCCAACATGTGCTAATACTGACGCGGCTTGAGGAAGATTCAGAGCCCGTAGGCCCTGCAAACCCTCGATCAAGTGTCATTTTTACATCCCCCCCACTCCTCATAAAGGTGTCCATAAGCAGTCTGGGCAACCGAAACGTAACCGCCCAGCATCCGGGGGGATAAAACGAAGCAAAACGAGTGACCCTTGGGGAGCGGGGGCCGTCCCCCTGGCCTCAGGTAGATCAGATACAAACACCGAGGCGGGCACCCTGAGCGGCGCAGCGCTTCCTCCCCGATGCGCCGCCGCCGCAGCCAGGCGCGGGGACCGGCAGCCGCAGCCGCCCATTCATTCGGCGCTCGCTCTCACTCACCTGTTCCGGGCCGCGACCTCCCGGCGCCCGAGGCCGCCGCCTGCAGTCGCGGGGACGCGGGCCGGGGTCTGAGCACCGGCGGGGCGAGCGGGCGACGCGGTCGACGCGGGCTGGGCGCGAGCGAGCGGCGCAGGCCGGGGGCGTCCCTGAGCAGCAGGGCCGAGCAGAGCCGCCGCGGGCTCTGATACATGCCGGGCGCCGCCGCCTCTGCCGCGCTGACGAGCCTGGCCGAGCGGAGCGGGGGTGGGCGCGGGACCGGAGCGCTGCGGCGCCCCTTCCTCCTCGTCCCTCGGTGAGGGCCCGGGGAGCAGAGCCGTGAGGGAGGCGGACGCTGCGGCGGCGGCGGCTCACTGAGGCGCGCGGGCGGAGAGCCGCGGGGCAACCGGCGAGCGGCGGCGGAGCGGGCGCTACTACGCGGCGGTCGCAGGGAGGTCCGAGCGCACGACCCGGGCGCAGCCAGGTGGAGCAGGTATCTACCGAGGATGGACTCGCAGGAACCAGAGACAGACACAGAGAGAGACACCGGCTCGGTCACCAGGTGGAGAATGTGGGACGGCTGAGGTCACAGGAACTCGTTAGGGAGGCGGCCCGTGAGCCGGAGGCCCCTCCCGCTGGCTGCAATGGAAGCGTCCACAGGCTGGGAGTCCCGGGTTGGTTCCAGGGCGTAGTGTGGGCGAGGGCGGGTTTCGTGAGAACGTCCGGCGAAGGTGGTCGACTCCACGCCCCAGAGCAGTAATAGAAATTAGTGACTGTAAAGTGCAGGCTGCTTTGGTGGCGGCTGCCAGAATATCCAGTTTCTCAGGCACGAGATGCAGAAACTGGCAGCAGGCTTTAGAGCGTCGTCAGCCCACGAGACTGCCAGAAATGTCTGTTAGAATTGATGTATTTGATATGATGTATTTGTATTTGATTGGAGGTCTGGGGTTCACACCTGGGGAAACAGCTCTTTCATATGGGGGATGGAGGCTAGGAAATCAGGAAGAAACTGCTTGGGCTGGTGCATTGTGAAGACAGATTAGACGAAATGGGTGACCGAATTTAGAAGGCGTTGCAACCCGTGTCCCAAGCTAAGGTGGGCCACAGTCAATAAACCACTGGGGGGGGGAGTGGAAAGCAGTGTGTGGTGGTGGTGCAAGCCATTAATCCTAGGACTCTGGTGGGAGAGGCAGGAGGATCTCTCGTGTGGTCTGCTTAGAGTGTGGTCTATTTAGAGAGTTCCAGGCCGGCAAGAGCCCTCAGTGAAGTCCTGTCTCAAAAACAAAAAACAAAATACAAACGAACAAAATGCAGTGAAAAGCAAAAAAAGGAGATTGACTTAATGTAAACACATTGGGAAGAGACAGTTAACGGTAGTGAGTCTTTTTCTGTCCCGCCAGCCAGTTCCCAAAAGACAACACCGAAACTTATTAATTATGAAAGTTTGGCTTTAACTTAGGCTTGTCCCACTAGCTCCAATAACCTAAGTTAACATACATACATACATACATATATATTTCTACCATGTGGCTTTTTACCTCTCGCATTTTACACCTCCCGTTTCCTCTCCATATCTGGGGGCGGACTTTTGTCTTTTTCCCAGAATCCTCTCTGTTCCTGAAAGTCCCACCTAATCTCTTCCTATCTAGCTATTGGCCATTCAGCCATTCAGGTTGTTTTCAAGCCAATCACAGTGTACAAATAACTCACAAGAGTTAACCTCTCCATAAATGGCTCTCTGGGGTCCTGAGTGAGATTAAAGTTTAAATAGAAGGCTGCCTGTATGCACATTTAAGCAGTCCAGGTCAAGGTGTGGTCCTGCCCACCATTCACCCAATTGGGCATCAGTCTCATTCTGTAAGGTGGTCTGCCTAGCTAGAACTGTGTGAGATCTCTTTCTGGGAGACAAATTACTCAAGTTGAGTCCTTTCCCTTTCCCCATCAGGAGTTTCCCTGCAGGAAATTTCCATTTCTTTGGTAGTCCACTGAATAGAATAAATCTCTCTCTCTCTCTCTCTCTCTCTCTCTCTCTCTCTCTCTCTCCCCTCTCTCTCACACACACACATACACACACACACACCTCTTTAGAATACCCATATTTTTTTCTAGCAAGTCTGTTGAATGGGTGCTAGGATACGGTCAGAGCTGTGTTTGAATTGGATATTATATGTTCCAGGAAAAGGCAGGAAAGGCTGGGATGTTTCTCAGTGGTAGAGCACTTACATAGCCTGTGAGGAACCCTGGGTGCACTCTCCAGTACCTAAGAGAGAATGGAAAGGGAAGGGAGAAGAGGAGGGAGCAGGAGTGAAAATAGAAGGAACTCTTAACTTCAAAAGAATGAGTTGAAGAAACCCCTCAGGTAGATTGTGTAAGGAATGACTAACTAGGAATGGAAAGGAAACCTTGGAAGAGTATCATTGCCAAGGATTCAAAATGTTTTGCAGACCTGGATTAGAAATCTAACACCCACAGGTTGTGGATGAATCAGCTAACAAGATGATGACAACACCTGGGAGAGAGGGCTGCCTTAGTTGGTCATCAGAATTCCTGAGTCTCAGTGTTCTTATCTATGCAGAGATCATACCTGAGTCATTAGGTGGGGCAAAGGGTAATGAAAAAGTTAGCAAATGTTTTGCAGCTACAGCAAAATATAATAGACTGTTGGTAATAGATATATAAATGTTGATTCCCTCCCCTCCCCATAATCCTCTCTCCCTCCCTCCCTTACTCCCACAAGTAAAGAGTATTTAGTTATTTATTTATTTTTTAGTAGGCAAGAAAATGAAAGCATAGTGGAGAGAGTAGAGAGGGCCAGCAGACCAAAAACTAGTAATGAATGAGACAGGAAATTAGATACTTGATGAGCTAATTAATGCAATTTTAAAAAGAAGTTTGACTGGAAGTCTCCTGTGTGGGTAGATAAAGCTGTCCTCCAAAGCCATAGGTTATTAGAACTCCCAGTGCCACTGTGATCTACTGTACGAATTGTTGGCCAGGGAAGCTCCTGAAATCACTGACGAAATACAGGCAATTGCCACTGCTATTGGTTGCCTACCAGAAATAAATGGTCATCACATATGTGGGTCATAGAACATGGAGAAATCCAACTGGCCTGGACTGGAAGCACAAGGCATTATGCAGGCTGCTAGGGGAGGATTGCCTCAACAGCCGGACTCAACTGTGGGACCTATGTGCAATGATACCAACTGACCAGTCAACAACCTATTATTGGTGCAGTCCTGCCAAGTCTGTTATGGGGGTAACCAGCCACTGTTCTCTGTAGGTTTGAGGCCTGCTCTATAGGAGGAAATTCACTTCTGGTATTGTAAAGGCAGTCAAAATTGTGAGGTAGGAGAGGCCATAGACCCTAGTAACTTCTGTTGTTTTAGTAAGTGGACATGATGTGCCTTTCAAATTGCTTTCTAATAACTATGTTCCTGCCCATTACCGCTGCTATGAGCTTTGGTTAGAGAAGGTTCTTTTTAGCAATAGTCAGCAATGATTGTAGAAACACATACCTAATCAAAGTACAGAGAATAATTGCCCAGTCACAAATAGGACATCTGTATCATCCATCCCCTCCAAGGTTCAGGGAACATTGGAGAAGATGGATAGGAAGCAAGAGGAGGGGGCTGGACATTGGTGAATGCCTTTAATCCTCAGGCAGAGGCCTGCCTGGTCTACAAATCAGGACAGCCAGGGCTTTACACAGTCTCAACAATAACAACAACAAAATACACAAACAAGAAAAAAAAAAAAAAAAAAAAAAAAAAAGAAAGCATCAGGAAAGGGGAGGGGCCTTGTGGAACTCTCCTTGAATACTTGTTTTACTTGGGAACTAAGAGTTATTTGCAGAAGACAGGGCCAGTCAACACTGTCATGGCAGGAGCAGGGGCTTTTGGGGCCCCACTCCTCCTTGAGGACTGTAAGAAGTTAGTTGTTAATGGGGGAGGGGAGGTATTTCCTTCAGAGGAGTAGCTCCTGGTAACAAACTCTCAATACCATAAACACCCTACTGAAACTCAGTGGGACACCCAAACATGAAAGTAGATGGGCAGACAACAGAGGGCAATGTGTGGAAGAGTGTGTGGATATGATGGGTTACATTATGCACACATATTAAAACATCATAGTCCATGTGGTGGCACACATATGCCTTTAATTCCCAGCACTTGGAAGGTAGAGGTGGATCTCTATGAGTTTGAAACCAGCATGGTCTACAGAGTGGATTCTAGGCCAGCTAGGCTACATAGAGAAACCAAGTCTAAATCAGACAGACACACATACACACACACACACACACACACACACACACACACACGAAGCCATTATATTAGTAATATGTGGTAATAAAAAGCATTTTTTAAAAAGGAAGGGAATAGTACAGAAAATGTAGCCTCTAGAGTAAAAAGAGACTAAGCTGAGTGATGGGAGATATCATTCTGTAAATATTTTTGTCTTATTGGTTAATGTAAAAAGCACTGTTGGCTAATAAGAGAGCAAGATAGGCAGGACTAGGAGACAAGGAGGATTCTGGGAGAGGTAGTGGAGAAGAGTCAAGGTGTAGGGACTTAAGAGGAAGAGGTCTGGACCCTCTCTCTGGTAAGATAAGACCACATGGAAATAACTAAGATGGATAGAAATGGGTTAATATTTAAGACAGAGCTAGCCAATAAGAAACACTAGTAACAGGTCAACAGCTTTATATCTAATACAGCATCTCTGTGGGTTATTTGGGGCTGATGTGGCTGTGGGACCAGGCTGGTGGGAAAGCTTCTTGTATCAGCTTAGTGGCTGAGTGGCAACTAACTGCCTAGAATTATTTTTCTTTTCTATGTGTTTGTAATTGTTCATAATTAAATATTGGGAGGGGATGCTCTTAAAAGTGAGTATTGATGAAGCATAAACAAGACCCTAGGCATCACTCACAAAAGTATGCATAGTAAGAGCAGAGGTTCCTAGAGGGAACCTTAATTCCCAGTAAACCTCTGCGAGCCTGATTAGCATCTGGAGGTGGGGGAGACTAATGCAAGTCTAGAGCCAAACTACCTTAGGTCATTTTCAGTCTTCCTAGCTGCCATGTAGTACCCTCTTCTGTGACCTAACATCTTTGTGACCATCAGGCAAGTCCTTTGGCATGTATAGTCATGTTCCTAACTTCCACCAGCTAAAAGGCTAAGAATGACATTTAGGTGGCATCTGAGATTTCCCTTTCTGTGACCCTACCTGATGTTCTCACCATTATATTGAAAAATGTTTTGATTTATAATTCCTTTTGTTTGTTTGTTTTGTTATTATAAAAGTTCATGGGGCCGGGTGGTGGTGGTGCATGCCTTTAAACCCCAGCACTCTGGAGGCAGAGGCAGAAGAATCTCTGTAAGTTTGAGGCCAACCTGGTCTATGAGTTCCAGGACAGGCTCCAAAGCTACACAGAGAAACCTTGTCTTGAAAAACAAAA